CCGTTGAATATGATCAGTGGGTTAGCTTGTCCACTTCCTAGCTTTGAGCCAGGGCTTGTGCTATTGCTACCTTTCAACATTAGCACTATATACTCACGATGTTCAGTCGCTTCAGCATTAGGTGTTAAGTGTTCTAATCCTGCATATGCAAAGGTCCCTTCTGGTTCGTGAGAACTAGCATCTGTTTCATCAGTCCTTTTATCTTTTTGCGTCCTTGTCATTTTTGTTACATAAGTCCCATTGCATGCGAAAAATTGTTCGTGGTAAACAACAAATACCAAGCATGTTAAAGATGCTGAGTCTCAATTGATAATAAAAGAATTATAAGCTTCCTTACCATAGCTCACTTAGATGTAAAAAGATATAAGGCTTTAGTTGAACAAGTGCTTAATTTTATTAAAATATGAAAAGTTACAAGTCTAGATTAAAAGTAAAACTAATTGATAAAACTAAAGCTATGAGATGTAAAAGTGTGATCTTTGATCGAGTGTTGACTGTTTTCTTCTGTGTCTTCGTCTTTTATTCATAGTGTCAGAATAGTGGTAGCCTCTCTCTTAATACCTAGCATGTTTTGCTGAGGAATCAAGGATCTCGAGAAACTCATGGCACAGTCTTTATTTTGAGTTTTTCATTTTTGGTAATTAGCTTGTCTCACTAAGATACCTGGGCACGATATCTGTGGATTCAAGAATTACTCAAGATCATGTCTTCTTATGCCAACGATCCAATACTTGTAACTGACGGGATTTCGGCATGTTTATTTTATCATGACCTTTATTGAGCTTGGACGCTAGCCCTTTTGTTTATATTAGGTCTAACTTTTCAATTACTCAGTCCAACTAACCCTATAACCTATCTGAGCGACGTTTCGAATTTTAACCCAAACAACTTCAAATAGTCATTTCTTAATTAGATGCTTAACATGCTAATATTATTGTTTATATTAGGTGATCATAATATAATATTTATATATTACTGTAGTTGAAGGACATATTAATTAACCATAAACAATAATTTTTTTGATTATTTTTTATATGTCATTTCTATCAATTTTATTAATATCAATGCAAAAAAAAATAAAAAAATAAAAGTGTGTAAAATTTTAAAGATGCTTTTATATAAAAAAATTAAAAAGTAATTTAATGTTACTTTTTTTATGAGGATAATTTTAAAAATATTTTTTTTAAATATTATCTAAAAATTGTACGAACTTTTTATAATGTACTTGATAAATAAGACCAGAACGCAGGATTGTGCAAAGCGAGGCCATACTCGTGCCAGCAAATATTGTGGACATTGCAATGGTGGTGTAATTCGTCCATCCGGACAACAGAAAGAGGGGAATTACTGTGTTTATCTTTTATTTTATTATTGCTGTCAGTATTTCAAATAATTGATTTCTGAAACCTAATTATAATCCTTGCTAAAATAATTCCTTTCATCGAGCTCCAAAAATAGGTTGGAAGATATTTGGGCTCCAGTAGTGGTAGAAGGCCGTGAGCCCAGTGTAGGAGAGAGAGACAGTGATGGGCCACGTGGAAAAAACGGCCATCATTTTCATGAAGTGACATTCTTGTTTTTTATTCAATCAAAAAAAATGCTGTTTCTTTTTGGAAAAATTAACCATGTGGTTTTATAATTTTAATTTAATTATAATTTAATTTTTAAATTTTGAGATTTAATTTTTATAATTTTGACTCAATTTTAATTTAATTTTTAAACTTTAATTTATTGTGACTCAATTTTTATAATTTTAATTATTTAAAATTTTAGTTCTTATATCTTAAAAATATAATTTTAAAAATTTAAATTAATGTTAAAATTTAGGAATTAATATTTTAGATTATTAAAACTTTTAATTTGATAAATATTATAAAAATTAAAATTTTAAATTAATGTTAATCTTTTTAAGTTTATTTTCTAAAATTTAAAAATTAATATTTTAAATGATTAAGATTATAAGAATCAAACAGTGAGTAAAAATTTAAAAATTAAATTATAATTAAGTTAAAACTTTGATAACTAAATTATAAAATTCATGAATAAAATATAATTAAATTAAAATTATAATGACTAAATTATTATTATTATTATTATTTAATAAGAGGAAAACGTCGGCTGTTGGTGGGAGCTGAAAGGGAGAGGCAATATCGGGAGTGGGACTTTGTAATTGAAGGGACGGGAGAGCATCAAGGTCGAGGGAGGGCAGAAGTAGCAGAAGATAATTTGATTAGACAAGGAAGCATATAGGAACGAAAGCTATGGCCCAAAGGCCACAAGAGACAGCGTACCCTCACCCGGGCGAATGAATGAGGCGAGTATGCAATAAGCAGTGGCCAGAATTCCATATGTAGGGACCACAGGGGACTCACTCAGCTTGCGTGTCCCTTCTCCTCACTTTGCAGCCACATGTTTCCCTATGCCTCGCTCCGCTTGTCACCTTCCTCCAACACTGCATTCCTATTTCTCTCTCTCTCTCTCTCTCTGCCCCGTTACAACATTTTTAGTATTCCATCTTCGTCGAGGGGTCAGGATTAAGGAGCATCCTGGTCAGCACCACCCCCACTTTTGTGGCCCAGCTGCATCCTCATCTGTTGCCATCTTACGTGCCACTCTTCTACCGGACCCTCTAATTCCCACTCGGATCTTCTCTCTCCTCTCTCCTCCCCTTCTCGCTCTCACAATTGCCTCCTTGTCCTTGTCACCGCCTACGCTCCCAAACCTCCTCCCTGTTCAGTATTTTGATGCTGACGTGTTACGCATCTGCATCTTTTCCAACATTAAATAAGGGGGCTTACATAGTATTTTTTTCGTTTTAAATTATAAAATATTTTTAAATAAAATTTTATACATCAATAAATTTTATTAAATACAGGTAATAATTTTATATTTTTATAATAAAAATATAATTTTTTAAAATATTTATTATTTAATATATTAAAAAAAGAGATAAAAATTAATTAAAAAATAATATTGAAATTTTCATATTTAATAAAATTTAGTTATAATTAAAATATCTTACATTTTAAAGTAAAAAATTTTTTAAAAATGTTTTATAATTTATGACGGATGTAGCAAATGACATCAACTGATCCTACTTTCTCTTTACATCTAATAGATCTAGTTAGTTGATTTAGAATAAAAGATCTTGAAACGAATTTCATATTAATATTATCAAAAGTTATTTAATATTTATAAAAATATCCATGCAATACATGTTTTAGGGGTGTTCAATTTGAACTCGTCTCGAGTGATCCAGTATTATTTTAATCATATCGAGACAAGACTTTATAAGATTGGACATAAAAGTGATTTGGGACGGGACGGTACATGAGATTACTATCAAAACGTCCCGTCCTACCCTGAATATTATATATGCGTTATTTTTTATTTTAAATATATTAATTATATCAATATAATTTATACTTATATTAATTATATCAATTATAATTTCAATACTTACAATTCTTGTTTAAAACTAAAGTTTTTTATATTGATACTTTTAATAACATTGAGTAAACATGACAATATTTTTCTTTATAATATATTAATTATATTAATATAATTTATTCTTATATCTATCTATTTAATAACTTTTATTTATAACATATTTCTTACTTTATTTTTAGAAGAGTAATTAGCTTAGTACATCTCTACTAAAGTAGAAGAACAATGATTTGATGTTATGCTTGACTTACCTGTTGTTGCTACTCTTATAGTTTAAAGATCACTTGTATTTACTATTATAATGTGTAATTGTGATTAATGTAATTCAATAATTGACTTTAAATTATTGTAATTTATGTACTTGTGTTGTTTTAATTTTAAACTTAATAAATTATATGATTTAAAATTTTAATAAATATTATTATCTAATTTTTTTTAATATTATCCGATTTATCAGAATGGCAGGACGTTTCGATTTTGTTTCAATAACGTCCCGACTCTTAATGGGATGAGACAACTTTCGAGACGGGACATAGGACAGAGGTGTCCCGATCTCATTCTGTCCTATGAACACCCCTAACATGCGCTTAAAAAATGGAGAGGATGAAACCTGTTAAATATATTTTTATTCTTTCAAATAAATGAAAACTTATATCATAAATAATTTATCATTTTTCTTATTTTTCGTTAAACATTTCTTCATTTAAATATTAGTTTATGGTTACGAAAGAATTTATTTTATAATTTTATATATTATTTAAAAATATTAAATTAATTATAACTGGTCTAGCTTAATTACAATCCAATTATTAACCTTTATATTAATGGAAGTAAAGGAAAAGCATTGTTAGTGGAAGATTAGTGCGGTTGAAATTAATGCCCCCTGAGAATGAAGCATGGCAATGGATGCCTTTTTTTTCTTTTTCTTTTTTTAAGGATTAAGTTATTAAGGAAACAAATAGAAACGAGTGGCAACCGGTAAACAAACAAGCGAGTCATGCAACACAAGATATTATTTGCAACTAGGAAAGATTTGCATTACGATCTTACATTTAACATGAGATTTCGGACTTTTTAATTATAATTCAACTTCTATATTTTAAATCCAACAAAGTTATTTCCAATTTCTCAACCCAAAAAGCAAGTCAAAACAATGTATTTGTATTTCGCGAAAGCATATTCAAATATTTCAAAATAAAATTAAATTAAATTTAAACTATATAATTTTAATTTCAACTTTTCGACTATTGAAATCCCTGTTTGACGACCTGATATTTTCACTCTCTTGGAGTGAAACAAGTGAATAATGGAACACATGGAAAAGCCAGGGCAAAAAAGTGAACCCAAAAAAAAAAAAATACAAAACAAAACAAAAGTTTCTTTATGAATGAATGACCCAAAAGGCAACAAAGAGAAGTGGGTCCCCACCTCTGACTCAACCCCTGGAAACGCAGCCAACCACAAGATAATGCGGGAACTTTTTGACACCACTAGTTCATCGCCACGTGGCAAATTCGGATTCTCTCTCCTACTTACATCGCCCTCTTCCTCCGAGCTCACAACACCCAACTCCTTAACATCTCAACAACGGCAAAGAAAGATGCTCAAAGAAGGCAGTGGCAATGGTGTCGCCGGTAATAATAGCTGGGCACGTATCTGTGACACGTGCCGCTCTGCTCCCTGCACTGTATACTGTCGCGCCGACATGGCTTACCTCTGCACCAGCTGCGACGCCCGCATCCACGCCGCCAACTGCGTCGCCTCCCGCCACGAGCGCGTGTGGGTCTGCGAGGCCTGTGAACGCGCCCCCGCTGAGTTTCTCTGCAAAGCCGACGCCGCCTCGCTCTGCTCCGCCTGCGACGCTGACATCCACTCTGCTAACCCCCTCGCCAGCCGTCACCACCGCGTCCCCATTCTCCCCATCTACGGATCTCCTTCCGCGGGGTCTGCTCCTGACGGGGAGGCTGGTTTTCTATCTCAAGAAGGTGAGGAGGCGGAGGAGGAGATTGTTGATGAAGAGGATGAAGACGAGGCTGCCTCATGGTTGTTGCTGAATCCTGTGAAGAACAATAAAAACACCAACGATTCCAACCCCAACAACAACAATCAGAGCAATGGATTTTTGTTCGGTACTGGGGAGGTTGATGAGTATTTGGACCTCATGGATTGCAATTCATGTGCTGAAAACCAGTTGACCGATCATTACAATCAGCGACAACATTATGGTGTTCCTCAGAAGAGCTACGCCGGTGACAGCGTCGTTCCGGTTCAGCTGCAGCAGCAGCAGCATTTTCAGTTGGGTTTGGACTTTGATTCCTCAAAAGCTGCTTACAGTACTTTCAACGGTTCTGCTGCTCAAAATGTAAGCTCTTCTTTTTTCCTTTCTGTGTTTCGCATCTTTTTGTTATTTTCATTTCCGAACCATATACCAATCGCATCTCTATTTGTCAAATACCAGCTCCCTAATCAGCAAACTGTTGACCCGACTTGGGCTTTACGTACTATTTTGTTCCCCTTTCTGGCAAGTCCTTATTAGGCAGTATTTTCACCTTTTCTGGATCTGTTTCTCTATATCTGTAATTAAGTACCTGGTTTTAGACCCGCCTTATCTTCCTCATTAACCTCATGCCTGATTATTTAAATCCTTACGGACTAAACTAGTGGCATCTTCTTATCTTATTCCTTATGTAGGCCACGTTTCACCTCTCGTTTGTCTTTACGCTTTTCTCTTTCACTTTATTCTCGGGTGTAGGAATATAAAACAAAACAAACCAAGCCATACTATCTTTTCCGCTTTTCTTCCTACTAAATTTTGATGAGGGGAGGCAATTGTCGTCCATATGTATAAATAAGGGAATTAATTCTTCTCTCCGATTCTCTAAATCTGATGCCGGTACTGACCCTTCTATACGTCAATCAGATGGACGTACTCACCCTTTGAAGTTGAAGTGTTGAACATGCGTGGTTTAATTTGTTCTTGACGTCCTTATCACGAGTGGACTACTTCATAAATTAAATAAACACTACACAATTTGACGGACGGCTAAGGTCCCTGCTAATGTTGCATTGCCAATATGTCTTCATGTTAACCCATTTTGTTCGTTATTTCGCTTTAAATCAGGTTTCGGTTTCGTCAATGGATGTTGGCATTGTACCTGAATCAACCATAACCGATGGCTCGATTTCCCATTCAAGACCTCCGAAAGGGACAATTGACCTATTTTCGGGGCCATCAATTCGGATGCCTTCCCAGCTTAGTCCGATGGACAGGGAGGCTAGGGTGTTAAGATACAGGGAGAAGAAGAAGACAAGAAAGTTTGAGAAGACAATAAGGTATGCCTCTAGGAAGGCTTACGCAGAGACCAGACCTCGTGTCAAAGGTCGATTTGCAAAGAGAACAGAGGTGGAAGCTGAAGTGGACCGGATGTTCTCTACTCCTCTAATGACGGAGACTGGATATGGCATTGTTCCTTCCTTCTGATCGATCATGCGCTGCTGCATGTGTCGTACAAGACTCAGATTAGAAACCTCGACAACTTTATGCATTAATGCCGTTATTAATGTCCTGTCTATCTATTTTTTTTATATATGTAACAAAATAATTTAATGATTAGTTTGCATGTGTACGTTTTATAGAATTCTTGGTGACTTTTTGGATGATGGTGCCATTTGTAAATACAATCCTTCCATCAAGTCAATATATTGCGTCCAATATTTTGAAAACTCCTGTTTATGTGATCTTTCGTTTGTTTATATACGCACCCCCCCACCTTAAGACGCAAGTTTGTGTTACTTGGTCATCTTGTCTAGGTTCAGTGAAATTGATCCAATTAACTACTCTACTAATGGCGAGGGGCCGGACTAAAAGTTATTTAACGATTGATGAGAAATAAATTGTTTAATTTTAGATCTCTTGCATTTCAAATTAACTGTTGAAGTCTAATTGAGTTATTTGATACATTGATAAAAAGTTGTATATTGCTTCGTATGCAAGGAATGTCCCATAAAGCTCCCCCTCCCTGGGAGATACTGCTTCCACGAAGTGCTGCTTTATTAAAAGAGGATTAGAGTTCAATAACAAAGAAGGTGGCTGGCATGGTAAGAGCCTTTTGAGTACTGTCACCGTTCGCAATAAAGTAAAAGCCCTTTCTGCTTTCTGTGTGTCGTGTTATAAGTCTATGTTTCGTAATGGTTGCTATTTTCTCCTCTTGTACTGCTTGTAAATTTTCATTTATCATTCCGCTGGACCATGATACAAATGCATCTTCTAATATGATTATGATGCTTTTTAGCTTGATTATCTAAGAAAATTTCATGATTTTCTGGTCCAACTGTGAGATTAGTCATACACCCATACCATAATGCACACGCTCAAACAACATAATCAGACATTGAAGTCTCAACCTTTAACCTATAGCAGATACAGGTGCGATGACGCAGCGCTGGATTTTAAATTTCTAATGAATAAAAAAGAAATTAAAGAAGCAAAAACTGCAACTAATGTACGTAGCTGCACAAATTACTAGCTAGATAAATTATCACAATAATAATACCGCTATTTTCTCAATTCGTCTTGATTTATACGGTGGTATTGTAGAGTTTATATATTATCTATACTGATAGATTGATATTATATACTGATTAAAATAAACTAAAATCAACATATAAATATGCATGCCCCACCCACTATCAGAGAGATATGCTTGAATAAGCTATAATAGAATCCGTGAATATATAGAGTTTGAAATAAGTTGTACTGTTGTATGTATATGATTTCCTGCCATTTTTATGGATATATTAATTGATGCGAGCCCTCCACCAGACCACCATCGATAACGTAAAAAGTTTGCCGTCTTTCCTCAAGTGCGATGAAATAGTTCGGCTGCACTTTTTGTCACGGTGGACCTAAAAAATTCAAAGTAAATGTACTTTTGGGAGATTCGCCATCGTTCATGAAAGATTCTTTATACCCATTGCGTGAGAGATATCAGTTCTTGTGAAACTCAGAATCAGAGACGCCTTTACGTTTAAATTCCATGGGGCGATTGTCCAGGAACATAATCGGAATACGAAGTGATTAATATTTGCAGCACCATTCGTACAGTAGCCTTCCCTTCAGCCCAGAAATTAATAAAGATTCGAGTTTGTATCGCGTACGTTTGGAAATTCTTACAAAGCGATTGTCACATGCATTTTTTGGGCCTCGTATTTTTAGAAAGTGCAGGCTAAAATTCTCATGAAGGAATACCCTTTATTCTCCTGTAAAGTATATTTTGAGAACGCGTTCACATACACGTTGACCCTTGTGGTCAGGTTTCTTCAGAGTTCATCTCGTATACATTCCTCCTAACTTAAATCTTTAATTTCCTCGCTCCTTACTGCTTAATGCTGTCTATTAGACTTTCAATCATTCTCAGGATCATTGATTACTTGGTTTGCTTTTCCATAACGAGAGATTAAGCATTATAAATGGCTTTTGAGCGATAAACGCGCGTGAAAGTAAGACGAAATTTGGAGTTTGCGCGATATCTATGATCTGTCTTAATTCTTGTGCAGTTATAAATATAGAGATTAAACTTGCATGTTAACTGTTAGGTTATTCAAGTATGGATATAAGATGATATGAGAAGTCATCAGATAAAATTAGAATTAATAATTAATATATATAAGAGTTAAGGTCTAATTTTATCTCTGTATTTATTTTTTAAAAGTAATTAAACACCCTATACTTTTAAGTGGGGCAATTTTACTCCTAAATTTTTTTTTTAGAAGCAAAAAATTCTCTTTGCTAATGAACCATTAATTTTTTCATTTTTTTTGCTGACATGATATGTGCATAGTACCCATGCACAGTGATTTGTAAGACTTTGACTATATACTTTGATATTAATTTGTCTTTAAACTATTTTTTAGAAGCATTGAGCACCTTAAAATATTTTTTAGGAACACTGGTACCTTGATGTCTTATTAAAATAAAATTTAATAAATATTATTAAAATATTAAATATTTTCATATTTAATAATTTAAATATTATTATTTATAGATATTCATGTATACATTACTTTTAAAATATTACCAACTCGAACTAACATTTTATTATTATAAATATTATATTATAGATGTTCATAACACATAGCCCTAAGAACTCCTTTGTCCTTAATGTCCTCATGAATGGCATGAAAGGAGTTTCTTAATTTTAATAGCTTATAACCTTCAAAGATTACATAATGCACCATTATATGCTTCATTATATCTTTGTAACAATAGGATAGAATTTGAATAGTTGGAGGCCTATAAATAGAGGTCATGTCCAAAGCATATGTACACTAATAAATAAGAATTCTCCTTCATTATTTTTTCTTCATTTCTTGTATTATCTTATCCTTCTCTACTTTTTATATTAACTATATTTTACAACATGTTATCAACACGAATTGGCTTTGAAAATAAGGTATGAGCTTTTAGTTAGATTAATGTATTCTATATTTTATGTTATTGCTTTATTAACATTTATGATTATGTTGTTCTTATATTTTATTGTTTTATTTTCCTATCATTTCATTTTCTTAGTTGTGAAGTAATTTTAAATTTCTCTATTTTATTCATTTGAAAATAATCATATGATTAGTGATTTAATTTAATCAAGTCTCATTTGACATCTATTGCTCTATTTTTATTATTTGTTGTTACATATTTTTATGGAGATTGATATACTTATTTTTCTTTCTTTATATTTCTGTATTTGATGTCATCATCATGATTATTATTATTGTTGTTGTTGTTGTTGTTGTTGTTGTTGTTCATTTCTTTATTATTTTTATTGTTATTTTGGTCCTCCATTAAATTAATACTATATATACATATTATACATTTTATGTTTGTTTATGTGTGTGTATCGATCAATTTATGTTGTTAATAAAATTTGTTTTATCATATAAATTATTTGTTTTAACCATCAATTTATTTGCTTTATTGCATTTCTTTATTTTTGTTATGTTTTATTTGTTTAACAAGTTTAGTTATTTATATTTGTGTTTATTTGTATTGTGCCTCTTTCTATTGTGTTTTATTATAAATTATATTTTAACATGTGTGTGTGAAATATTTTTTTACTATAATATTTATTTATTATGCTTTATTTATTAATTTTGTATAATTCTAATTATTATTATTATTTTTTGGAATCATGGAAAATCTTACCAAACTTGAATTTACAGCTCTTGATATTACGAGAAAGAATTATCTATCATGGGTGTTAAATGCTGAAATTCATCTAAACACCAAAGGTCTAGGAAATGTAATTTTACCTGGAAATCAAACAAGTAGTCAACATAAGTGTTGGATTGGGAGGCATAGCGGAAGATTAAAATTTTAAAGTCCCTATCTTGATATGGACCGAACGAACTAGTTTAAGTCAAGGTGAATAGAAGAGTTACCCTTTTGATTTCTTTGAAGTTGGCGCATGTTTGGATCTCAGAAGCTGACAATATAGATTTACTCCCTCTATTGGTATCTACATGAACAACTCTCTAACTCAAATAGCGTGCTAGCGCTCTCAGTGTCCGTTCTTCTTTGAACGTTAATTTTTCTTTTTGTAGAGTGTTTTGTGGCTCTCAAAGTGTTTTTGCCGTTAGAACTTTTCTAATTCTCTCTCTACTTTCATAAGAATGTCCCTATCTATATAGAGTATATAGATAAGGATTTTTGTCTTTCACTTAAAAGCTTACAAAAATTTGATTAAATTTATCTCATAAATTTAATCCATAATATCATATTTAATTTGAATTTATCTTATAAATTTAAATTATAAAACTAACATGATATTCTCTCCTATCATGTTAGTTATTAAATTTAATATATCATATAAAATTAAATTTAAAACTAACATAAGATAATATAATATAATATAATATATATCACATATACATATTATATTATATATATACAAATATATATACATACATACATACATATTTTGAAAAAATATATATATGTTATCTATATTTAATTTTATATATCATATACATATATCACATATATATATATGATATATATATACATATATATATATATATATATCTATAATTATCTTTTGAATTTTATATTTTATATAAACATATATATAAATATTTATCAAATAAATATACAAATATATATATATATATATATATAATTCATTCACCCTATATTACATTCATTGAATCTAGACATATTCCAGATTTAACAAACTTGGACATTATAGCTCGAGTTGGACTGTTCTTGTGTGTGTAACCCTGTAAGCCCATATGAAATTGGCAGTGGGCTAATTATACTATTAGCCCACAAATTACAAAAAGCCTCTAACAAGATATTGCAACTACCCAATTCACATAAGGATCAATGATCCAATATAACTTATCATGCAACCATATCATATCCCTTTTGTCACATGATATTTCGGTCAAGTATAAGATATGAAATTGTCATTCTCCTTTATCTGACCATTATTTTTTTGATCTCTGGTTAGACTGATAGTAGCAATGGAAAAACCCTTTTCATTAGTATGGCCATACATTTTCTCAGTCTTACTCATCGAGGGGCCCAGTAATATCTCTCACTTAATGTGAGAGACAAATTCCATCTTGACCACTCATATTCTTCTACATGAATATCACTAAACTCAATCATAGCCTTTATGATCACCCGGTCAAAAGTGACCTTTGACTAGGTCAAAGTTCAGTTG